CTGTAACATACTTCTTCAGTTCAGACGATGCTATTGCAAATTCGATCATTGATCTTTGGCCTAGGGCGCTCTGGTACCACGTACACTTATGAACATCCTTATGTTCGAACATGGTGTTTGTTATGGACAATCCGTGACTAGCACAGAAGTCCAGTAACAAACACCCGCTCGGGTTCAGATCAGGGAGGCCATTCCTCCCAATCACGCCTCTCCAGTTATCTCCATCGTCGCCCACGTGCGCATTGAAGTCTCCCAGTAGGACTATGGAGTCCCCTACAGGAGCCCCATGCAGGACTCCATTCAGGGTCTCCAAAAAGGCCGAATACTCTGAGCTGCTGTTTGGTGCATATGCACAGACAACAGTCAGAGTTTTCCCCCCCACCACCCAAAGGCGTAGGGAGGCGACCCTTTTGTCCACTGGGGTAAACTCCAATGTAGCAGCACTCAGCCGGGGACTTATGAGTATCCCCACACCCGCCTGGCGCCTCACACCATGGGCCACTCCGGAGTAGAATAGAGTCCACCCCCTATCCAGGAGTTTGGTTCCAGAGCCGAGGCTGTGCGTAGAGGTAAGCCCCACCAGATCCAACTGATAATGCTCCACCTCCCGCACAAGCTCCGGCTCCTTCCCCCCCAGAGAGGTTACGTTCCACGTCCCCAGAGCCAGCATCTGCCGCCCAGGTCTGTTCCGTCTAGACCCCCCACTGTCACTGTCACCCTTGTAGCAGCGCACCCGACCCCATCGGTTTCCTCCACAGGTGGTGAGCCCATGGGGAGTAGAGTGTTGGGCTGCCGCGTCACTCCTTCGGGCTGTGCCCGGCCGGGCTCCGCGGTAAACCCGGCCACCAGACGCTCGCTGTCGGGCCCTCCATCTGGGCCTGGCTCCAAATGGGGGCCCCGGGCTTCCTCCGGGCCGGGTAACTCCTTCCCTCTTCCGTTTTTTCATGGGGGTCTTGAACCATTCTTAGTCTGGCCCCTCGCCTGAGACCACTTTGCCAAGGGTAACCCTACCAGGAGCACAAGGCTCCCGACAACACAGCCCTCAGGTTCATAGGGACACACAAACCTCTCCACCACGATATTGTTGTATTAGACAGCTATATTAGTCTAATACAACTTTGAGATCAGACTGGTTGCTCCACAATGGCTTAGAGCTATCTTTTCTAAAGAATTTAAAGGGGAGAGAGTTACTTAGATTCTGTTGGGGATCTGGAGTCCCTAATTGACCAGACTATTACATGAGTTCGAGTTCTGTGTCTTTTGGTATGAAGCTTATCTGAAGATGCTTAAAAAAATGCTTTGTGGCTAAACGTTTGTCTGAAATCTAATACCTCGTTCTGCCCATAATTTAAAGCCAGGGTCGTTAAGGCCGGCGCAAGCTTCTGCATCTTTACGCACAGTCGTGTCAACGCACTCGTTTCAATTCATGGTTCTAAAATTGTGTGTGTTGCAGAGCAATTCACCTCCAGAACAATAGGTGGAGTAATGTTTTTTTGGTCAAAGATGACCTAGAGAGTCCCGTCTTCTATATTCCTCCACAACTTTGTTCCCCTCGACCAAACCGACGTTTGCGGCGATCTCCCTCTATGAAACAGAGGCCATCCGCGCGTCCCTCTAGGCTGCCAATGACTGGTTGTAGAAGTGGTCATATTTATGCATTTTTTCCAAACAAAGCTCTTCAATCTGATTCATTCTCCCGTAAAATATTGTTTGTTTTAATAATGGCGGTGTTGTGCTATGAAAACAGAAATGTGAGACTCCGTAAAGGATGCAGTTAGCAGACCAATGGTGGGCCGCAAAGGTACTGCAGGTGGGCCGCGAGAGGTCATTTACAATAAATAAATACGTTTTTAATTTTCAATTTTGAAAAGTTTGAAATTAATATAAAAATATGTATGATGCAGCACGTTAGTTATGTGAAACATTAATTGATGAAGCACAAACAATTTAAACTAACAGATTGGTTAATCGGTTGATCCATATTGGTTGTACACGGCGCTCAAGGCGCTCTGCCAAACACGCCAAAGCTCGTCTACGACGGCGAGATGCTGAGCGGCGCTCAAGCACGTGAGATATGGAGCTTGTTTCAGGGCGCGTCAGAGAAACATAGCTGTCGTTCTTGCCTAGCACTTCATGAGATTAAAGAGCGAGAGACGATGCCCTTTTCTTTACAGTAGCTGAACCATCTTAACGGGGAAAATAAGTTATTCTAAAAGGAGCCGAATATTTAAGGCGTGGATGGCGAGGGGGGTGGCGGGAGCGGACGCACCTCGCAGCGATCGGACCCTGGAAGTACCGTCTCCACCCGCCCCGACGCCAAACATTTGACTGCTACGGCGGCAAATCACCAGCCGGTCTGCGAGCTTGACGCATTGATCTTAATGTGCCGGTAATGATGGTAAATGATGGTTGTAGCTGGTTATCATCTACGGTCCACTACGGTTACATAAAGGTGTCGTTTGTGTTTTGACAACGTTTTATCTCATAGTTTCGACTTTCTATCCCCTTTCTTCAGTGTGAG